TATGGTTGTCAATTATTTTTCCTTGCCTGTTAGTTGTCATTTCACCTTTTGATGGTATTATTTGCAGCATAAAAGTTTTACATTTTGATGTATTTCAAAGTAATTCAATTTATAAATTTTTGTTTTGTTGCTTTTACCTTTGGTGTCATAACTAGGATAGCTTTGCCTTACCCAAAATCACAAATATTTACTTACGTATTCTTATATGAATTTTGAGTTTTAGTCCAGGCATGGTCTCAGGTCTGTAATAACAACACTTTGGGAGACCTAGGAGGGAGGAAGGCTTGAGCCCAGGAGTTCGAGACCAACCTGGGCAATATAAGGAGACCTCATTTGTACAAAAACATCACTAAATTATCTGGGCGTGGTGTTGTGTGTGGGGAGTCCCAGCTACTTGGGAAGGTGAGGCAGAAGGATCACTTGAGCCCAGGAGGTTGAAGCTGCAGTGAACCATGATCATGCCATTGAACTCCAGCCTGGGTGACAGAGTGATAACCCCAACTCAAAAAAATAAAACATTTGAGTTTTAGCTCTGACATTTAGGTCTATCATTCATTTTGATTTAACTTTTATGTATCGGGTGAGGTACAGATCTGACTTACTCCTTTGCATGTGGGTGTATAATTGTGCTGGCACCATTTGTTAAAAAGACTATTTTTTCTCCCATTGCATTGTCTTGACACTTGTGTTGAAAATGAATTAAATTCTAACAACTTTGTAGTAGCTTCTTTAGATCTATATGTGAGATCATGTCATCTGTACCATGACTCACAAAGTAAGTCTTTCTTTCTGAAACAGCAATTTTATTCTACTGATCTATTTATCAATTCACATGCAAATGCCATACTATTTAAGAAAGACTTAGTATAGTAAACATTGAAATTGAGAAGTATGTGAACTCCAAATTTCTTTTTTTTAAAGATTATTTGGAATATTCTCGTTTCCTTACATTTACATATGATTTTTAAGGTCAATTTGTCAATTTCTATAAATAGCTAGCTGGAATATTGGTAGAGATTGCATTGATTGATTTGGACTATTGTCATCTTAATAACGAGTCTTCTAATTCTAATTTCTGTTTATTTGGCTCATTTTAAATTTTAAAACAATGTTTTATAGTTTCCAGGATACAAGGCTTATACTTCTTTTGTTAATGTTATATCTAAATTTATTCCTAAGTATTTTAGTGTTTTGATGTCCTTATTTACATCAAATTATTATTTTATTATGCCTTATTTTCAGAGTGTTCATTGCTAATACACAGGAATACAATTGAATTTCATGTATTGATTTTGAGCTCATTTATTAATTCTAATATCTTTCAGGTGGCTTTCTTAGAATGTCCTTTGTATGAGATTATGTCATCTGCACTGTAACACACAAAGTATCTGCAAAGATAGTTTTACTTCTTCCTGTCCAAACTAGGTTTCTTTTCTGTTTTCCTTGCTTAATTTCCCTGGCTAGAACCTCCAGCACAGTGTTATCCTATTTTTGAAGGTAGACTTTTGAAGTTTTCCACTATTATTGTTGAATTGTCTATTTTTCCCTTTAAATCTGTTCATTTTTACTTCATCTGTGTGTGTGTGTGTGTGTGTGTGTGTGTGCGCGCGCGCGCACATGAGTGTGTCTGTGTGCATATACACATGTGCATAGGTGTGTTTATACTGCTTGGAGTTCTGTTATTAGGCGCACTTATGTCTTTCTGGTGAATTGATTCTTTTTATGGCTGACAGTTGTTTGCATTTAATAGTTTGAGAATTATTTCCCTCCATTGTTTCCCTCCATTGTTTCTTTTGTGAAATTTTCAGGCTTATGGGGGTTTCCTTATATGTGATGGATCATTTATCTCTTGCTATTTTCAAGATTTTCCCTTTGTCTTTGTTTTTCAACATTTCTACTGTAATGTGTCTATTTGTGACTTTCTTTGCATTTATGCAACTTACAGTTTGTTAAGCTCCAAGTTCATTGAATATGTTTCTTCCAGTTCCTGAGTAACCTAATTACTTCATATTATCTTACCTGGGGCATTTGGCTTACTTATATTTTAGACCCAACCCCTGAAGAAATTTTTGTGCTTTAATCATAAGAGTGTGTGTGTGAGTTGAGCTTGAACACAGTTGAGAATAAGCAGGTTCACATAATGGAAGGTTAATAGACCATTTCCTTCCACAATTTATGATTTCAATATTATCTTGTTAAGCACTGAACTTCTAATTTATTGAAAGAATATTGACTATTAACCAGTGAATGTGAATCACTTTAAATATATGTTCCCATAACACAATTTGTTCCTCTTGTACTCAAATTCATACCACTTGCAGTTGGCTGTATAATGTCTACCCAAAGATACTAAATCCTAATTCCTGGAACTTTTAAATGTTACCTTGTTTGGAGTAAGGGTCTTTGTAGTTATAAGTAAGGATCTTGAGATAAGAAGATAATCTTGGATTATCCGACTGAGCCCTTAATGCTACCATAAAGATCCTTATGATAGAGATACTCAAAGGAGAGCCACACAGAAAAAGAGAAGGCAATATGATACAGACTCAAGTTCTGAAATGCTGGCAATGACCAGAAGCTGGGAGAGACAAAGAATGGATTCTCTCCTAGAGTCTCTAGAGGGAGTGCAGCCTTGCTTACATCTTGATTGAACTTCTAGCCCCCAGGACTGTGTGAGAGAAAAAAGTTCTTTCTTTTTCAAGCCATTCATCTTGAAGTGATTTGTTACAGAAACCATAAGAAATTAATATACTACCCTAGCAGTCGTTTTTTTCAACATATATTTTCTGTGCTCGATTGTAAACTCCACAAATACCTCAGTTATCTGTCTAATACACCTTGCTAAATCCAGAATCTAGCAGTGGGCTTAGCAATATTTGAGCTCTGTTGAATACTTGTTGATAAAATGAATAAATAGGCCATGATGCCTATGTCACTTATAGTTTAGTGTTTAGCAGGATAAATGATTGAATAACTGAGTAAATCAGGGAACAAATATTTGTTCACATAAACAAATAAATACAGACAGTGTGCATAATTAATATATTTCTGGTTATTCAGCAAAGGAATTGAAAGGTTACTATACAAATTTTATGATGTGGAGCAAAGAAGATGAAGTTTTATGGGTGGTTTTACTGGTAGGTAGAGATAGAATTTTGGTTTCCAGCCTAGGAATGATGAATATTCTCTGAGGATATCCACATTGATTAAGTAAAAATGGATAGATTTAAAGGGCAAAATAGACAATTCAGCAATAATGGTGGAAAACTTCAGAAGCCCACCTTCAAAAATAGTGCAATCATGCAGAAGATAATCAAGGAAATAGAACAACTAGATCCTACTTAAAAAAAAAAAAAAAGCAATGCGTATAGGTCAAGAAGAGGCATCTGAAATTGTGCCTTCTCAGATATTATCCTTTAGGCTGTGACAGTTTTCTGGGCTGGTTGCTGCCGTGCTGCCTGTAGCCTCTCTAAATTTTCACTAAATATTGGTCTTGCATCACAAGGCAATGAGGTGATGTGTGGATCCAGTACAGAAGAAGAGATGCCTCAAGATGTAAAAGGAGAGTTGTGAGAAAGGTCTGAGGACTAGTGAACAACAATGTGCATCACAGATAATTTGTAGGGAGCACTTCAAAGTGAGCAAAGGTGAGATGTCTAGCTGTTTGTCACAAGATGTGATTTTCTATATATAGTTATTTGAATATACTTCTTTAGTCATGCTACTTACAAGGCTTATTTTAAATCAGATAAACAAATAAAAACCAAACTAACAAGAAAGCGCTAGGTGACTGGCTTTTGGTTTTGCAGTGAGCTCAGTCTGTTGGGGTTACTGTTCCAAGAGTATCTCGCCATGCCACTGAATAATGATTTTGGTCAGATTCATCCCTCTCTGGTGCTGCATACCAGCATTCATGGCTGTCATATTACTTCAGATTATGTCACAGAGTCCAAGTAAGAACACTGTAGTGTGTGTGTGTGTGTGTGTGTGTGTGTGTGTGGCGCGTGTGTTCTCTTTCATGTTGCAGCCTGTAAAATTACCTTTATTGTCTCATTCCAAACTAATTTCTTATTGCTCTGTATCATCCACGAACATTCCTGCCTTTTGGCTCTATTTCCTGTTGCTGTGACTTTTGCCCAACTTCAGCTCCAACCTATGTCAAATTATATTTCTTCCAAGAAGCTACTTCAGCAGAAAGGGACATCTTTATTCTCTGAATTTCTCTCATACTTTGCATATATTTTACTGATCATCAAAATGACAAGAGCTACCACTTACTGAGTGTTCACTATATGCAAACATGGGATTACACCCTTTACATATATTATTTCATTTAATTCTTACAACATTTCTATGATGTGGGCTCTATTATCTCTTGCAGAAAACTGGAATTTAGAGAGGTGTAAGTGATCTACACAAAATATGCAACTTCTAAATGGAAGATCCAAATTTCTCACGTAGATATTTTCTAGAGGTCATATTTTTAACCTTTAACTCATATTGTCCTTTAGTCCAATACTGGTAGCTATTATAGATACATTTTCTTTTCTAGGTTATGTGATATTTGAGAGTAGAGACTGCATATTCTTTCTTTTATTTATCTAGTTACAATTTCTAAAACCCAGTAACTCAATAAATATTTGTTCATTAAATGAATAAATATATAGGATTTTTACTGGGCCTTAACATGTATTCTAAAATAATTTAAGAAATTTATACTGATGACTGCAAATAAATAATTATAAAAACATAAGCGATGGAATTTATAGATAAGCATGATTTATTCAATATTAACTATGCTAACTGTTTTTTCTTATGTTTCTTAAAGTTCTGTGTGCAAATACATAAAATGGTAAAATATTTATTCATGAATTTTTGGATTTTCCTATCTAGATGATTTGGTTGAAGTTATCAAAACATTCTGTTTTGATCATCCTTATGTGTTAAATGCAAATTACTGTATTAATCTTGTGGGTATTTTGTTGTTGTTTTGTTTCCAGGATGGCGTAGGGGTAGATGAGAAGCTATCTTTACGGCGGGTAGCTGTGGTTGAAGATTTCTTTGACATCATCTATTCGATGCATGTGGAAACAGGGCCAAATGGAGAACAAATTCGGAAACATGCTGGGCAAAAGAGAACTTACAAAGCAGTAAGTTAAAAAAAGAAAAGAAATGTAAAAGACATGTATTTTGAAATTTGGTATTATGCATGCTTGTTAAGATGGGTTAAATAATTATAAATATTCTATCTTCAGTATAAATTAGACCGTATAATGGTCATACCCAACATTTAAACTGTAGTTATTACTGACTCTATTTTGGTTGTATATTTACTAGTCTGTAGTTTAAATCTGTCTCTTGCATTTTCATATTTTCTTTAAGTATATATAAAATGTAGCAGTCCCAGTCAGATGTCCACAAATTGGAAGATATCATTGTATTATAATTTGTAATATGTATTTAATGTGTCATAATAGGTGAATTATGGACTGGAAGACAACTTCTGACTACTTTTTAAGCATTCCTTCCCCTTTAAATTATATTAATATGTTTAGATATTTCCTACTTCATAGTTATAGTAAAATGGATAAGAAAATTTATGTACTTTTCTTATGTCGCCTTACATAAAATATATTTGTCCTGGAGGATATGTATATTCTTAAATTTCCAGAATAGACTATTAAAAGATATGTAATTTTCATAGCTCTAATGCCCTTGAACATTTTAAAATGGAAGTACATGTTTTTATTATAAATTATATGAAAAGCAGATTTAATTAACTGTTAGACATTGAAATATATATATGTTGTCAAAATGGAGTTATATATTATTTCTAAAGTTTCTAATTATACCTACAGTTTGATCTAGACACCTTAATTTAGCTTTTTATTTAATTAAAAACTTTATAAAATCATATTACTATATATGTTTCATCCTGTCTAGGAAAATTGAACAGTAAATTATTCTTTTCCAATATGAACAAAATGTACATCAGAAGTGCTTTATCAGCAACCAGAATAATATCCTTTTTTAGAATTCGTATTGAACTTTGCTTTTGGCTACCTTTATATTAATGTTTTCAGCTATATTGATACACAATATCAGTCTGGATCCATTTTTTTTTCAGATACAGAAAAATGTGTGAAATGCTCAAAGTTTCAAATACAGGTACATATGTTTGAAAATTAGCTACTGAGCATAAGAAATAGCTTCTTTTCCATAACTATTTTTTGCTATATTGCCAGGGTCATATTGAACCTTTGTAGTTGCATAATAACCCCTAATACATGTTGTATTTATCCCTTCTTCTCTATGGTTTTGTTTCTTGGCTGTTTCCAAATTGCATGGTTTGTGGGCAGGCACTATTGTAAGTTTCCTTACATAATTCTGCCACATAAACTTTCATTTGACTTACACATACATCCCAGGAGACATTCTTATCATGACTAATGGTAATGATCTAGCTTCTTGAGATATTTTTATATAGACTAACATTACTGAACATACTCATTCCGCCTGTCTCCTAAGCCAGGTTTATTCCTCTGGAAAGTAATAGGAAAAATGTATATTGATCTACTAATATCACTAACTGTGTACTCTTATGATAATGCATTTTCATGAAATAGCTACCTAAACTTGATAGGAGTTTGCAAGGTAGGAATGCATAAGCTCAATTGTAGTAAATGTACAAAAACAAAACAAAAAATCATTTAGTTAGTAGAAGTGTGACAGTGAACTATGTTTAGGTGCCAAAAGCAATTTAAAATAATTTAATCTTTGAAATTCATTTATTAGAGAGCTTTAATTAAAGTACAAACATATGAGTCAGTGATTTGGCCCAAATCTTTTGCCCCGTGTTTTTTTAAATGAAAGGTAGAAAATCTGATCCATTGCTATTATGCGTGCTAAACACTTGCAATACATTGGTAAACATGTTTCCAACATATATACTTTTGTATTAATATTACAAAGACATTTTCTGCATTTGGGAGTAGGGATGCCAACTTTAAAGGTATAAGCAGAATCTGAAACATCAGCTAATCCTTCTTGAGAATGTTCTATTTGAATATCCTTCTCCTTTCCCAAGTTTATTTTCATATCTAAAGCGTTATCACATTTTCCTAATATCATGAAGGTTCTTTTTGGCTTAAACTTTTTTCCCTCTGGTATCTTGCAATTGAATTACAATTAGGAAACATTTTCATTTTACGGAGTAATAATTCATGGTAGGAAAAAACAGAAAGAGCCGCTGCAATCCTAGCAAATCTGTGCATATGACTCTACAATGAATTTAAGTCTAATGTTAAAAACTAAGCATTCAAATAATGGGGCATAAAACTAAAATACAATTTGAAATGGAATGTCTTAATTCTATTAGGGTTGTAGACTGTTGGGTCAGACTTTAGTTCTTAATATTAATGCTGAAATTGGCTAGTCATTGGTGGGATTAGCTAGGTACCTGTTGCAATTATAATGGTTCCCATTAAGTTTAAGATTTCTTTCTACTTCTAAAACATTAGTTCATAGAGCATGCATGATTATATTTATTGATCTTCTTTTTTCCTACATGGCCAAGAAACCATACTTATACAACTAATCATTAAAGTGTATCATGTTGTCTTAACAATATTATCAATAGACGTAGTGGTCATTTTATTTCCTTTGCCTTTTTGCAAATCTTCTTTCTATGTTTTCACTCTGCAGGAAATGGTGGTCCTTTAATATTGGATTAACTTTTGAATGCTATTTGGTTTACCTATCTGCAGTATATCATTCCTTGAAATATCTAGGCATTATACAACTTAAATTTTATTGCAATCTGATCTGACTATAGATAAAAATGAAGGGTGTGAATTTTATTACTCATGAATGAGCTCTTGAAAATCCACACAAAATGACACATTTTTGGAATATGTAAAGGCTGTCATAACTTTAAAAATTATCATTGAATGTTAATGTCTTTTAGGGTTTTTCTCTATATTTGTATCTGTGTATGTGTTAACTTACTGGTGCAGTGAATGTGTTTCTTTCGATATATTTGACTATAGTCAACTCTTAGTTATCTACATTTACAAAATGAAGAGGTGTGGACCATTTCAAATATCACTTATGTTTGAGCTTAAAATATTCTTTGTACTAAAGACTGAATGTAGGTATGTTTAGCAATTTGGAAAAATCACTTTAAAATTAATGATGTAACATTTAAAAAATAATTAGGGATACTGGATGCTGTTTTGTCTTCCAGTTTTTAACTCTTGTCAAATTTTGCCTAAAACTTAAACTTCAATGAATACATCAAATTTTGTCTTTTATTGTTTTATTTTATCACAGGCTAAACCAGTTCAGATATATTTCTTAAATCAGGGTCTAATTAAAAGATTGAGGTTCAAAGCTCTTTCTGGCTACATGTAAAATAAGAGTAAGTGGTAGAGATCCAGGAATTAAGGAGAAAAGTTAGTGTTATCAATAGAGAAAACAGTCTGCATATATCTGTGTACACACACACACACACACACACACACACACACAACTTTAGTGTGATATTGTAAACTTACACGTATTACTTATACATATAGCTGCCAATAATTACATTCATTTAATTCAGAGCGGAGAACATATGCTACAACTAAAAAAAAATAGGCTGGATGCCAAACAAACAGTTTCATGTTTCAAATCTAGCACTCACTTCCTATCTGTGCCACTTCTGGCAAATTATTTACTCTTTTTCTTTAGAGGGAGATATTGATGTACATGGTGCAGTAAATGAATGAGTTAAGATGGGTAAAGTGCTTGCCATATGGTAAACTTGTGATTGATGTTACTTCTTTCCTTCCTTATCCAATCACTACTCATGTTCCATGTAGAAAGACACACAGGACAATTGGCATAACTCTTTTGTTTGCCCTAATGACAATTATGGGTCTAATTTATTTTGCCCACTCTGATGTGTCTGTGTTGGAAAATAGGAATAATAAATTTTTATGAGTCCTTTTTTTGTGCATCCTGTAGATGTCACTGTCCCTGGAAGTCCACGCAGTAACTTTTACCCAGGGTTTGACTGGGCTAAAAGAAAGCACGAGAAGGGCCAGAGTTCCTGTGTTCATGGATGGGTTCTCCTGCTAGATGGAATTGATGAGAATTTCAGTTATCTCATTTGCTTTTCCCAAAGTTTAAGGCTGTTAAGCTAATTTCAAGCTAATTTTCTGAAAAATTTTTTAAATGGCTCTCCTTAAAAGATTTTCTCTTCATATGAATGGAATATTTCTTTCCAGAGATGTACTGGAGAAAAGCAGCACATTCTTCTTGTAGGATCTCTACAGATCCACTCCGGAAATTAACAAAGAAAATATTTATCTACCATATCTGGGACACGTAATTTTAAAACTTTAGTTGGTGTCATTTTTGCCTTATTCTTTTTATAAATACCTACTGGTTCAGTGTCACCACTGTGAAATAGAATATTCTAACTTGCACCAGTTTCTGATAGTTTGTTATGTAAAAATTCTCAGAATTTTTATCAATTTATAATGACTAATGAGACAAATTTGCAGCCATCATGGTGTGAAAAAATAAAATAAAATAAAATCCAAGAGTTCTAAGCAATTCACTTGACCTCTTTTGGGCTTAGGTTGTGGTTTACTCACTTGTAAACTAAGGGGCCCGCATTTCAGTTTTCTTCAAACTCTTAAGGAATTATAGCAATGACAATAGTGTACAGTAGGCCCTTACTGCGCTTGGGGACAAAATGAAAATAGTAACCAAAATGAGCAAACTGGTTGGCGCAAGAAATGTTCAAATTTAGGGAAAGCATCCTGCTGTCCTAAAAGCAGATTGACTAATAACATAACACAGAGATATTTTCTTGCTCCAACACTAACTAGAGAATTCTCCTAAAATTATAATAATGATGATAATTATAACAATAATAAAAAAGGATGTGTAGTCATTGGACTTTATGTTTCTACCATTTAAAAATAGCAATCAAGAAGAAAGCCTTAGAAATGGCTGTCACACATTAGCATATTTTTCACTCCTCTCTATTTGTGCTAACAATTTTGCAGTAATCTAAACCAAATTATGAGTGGGCAGCTCCTTAAATTATTACAATACATATGTAAGCTGCTGTGCAAGAGATATGACTGCACCTCAAATATACTTATTTTTGGACCTGAATATGATGACTGTGTTACTGTCCCATATGCTTGTTTATTGTTTTGTTTTTTTTTTGGCACCTTTGACATAGACATAAATGATTATGTGAATGAACATCTTTGCTACCTGTCTTTTTTTTTTTTTTTTTTTT